CCCCCCCCCCCACTTTCGTTCCTTCCTCCGTTACTCAGTCCTTCATCCATTCAATTTGCTCACTGCTTTTCTTGCAGAATGCAGCGACATACATTTGTTTCGATGGCCATTCACTTCGTTTCGTCCAATTTTCTTTCCGTTCAGATTATAGCATTGTGTGGGTCTTCATCAAATTTCATTTCGTCGTTTGCACGTATGCTGAATTAATTTTCTCTCGTTCCAGCGACCCATCCATCCATACACTACGTCAATGTGCTGTCAGCATCATTCCAAAAAACACATCGGACTGATTTTCCTTCCTTACCTCCTTTTGTCTTCGCTTCCCTCCTCATCACTGCAAACCACAGTGCGGCATCGTCATGATTGCCTCGTACTGCATACGCTCCGATCTCCCGGGCGATCTCTAGGACGCGTTTGCTGTCTGGACCCTGAAAGGATTTTGTTTTGGGTGCACCGTGCCCGCCAAAGACGATACCCAGACACAAACACCAACAATGATAGAAAAGAAAAATGTGCAAAAAAAAAAAATGGCTCAGTAAATACTAAATACCAAATAGGTTGCAACCAAGTCAACGACCCCTGACTGGAATCGTGCAGAGTGTGTTTCTTCTCCCCAGCAACTGTAAATTTATCATTCCTGCAATTTACATGATCAGCGCCATCTTAAAAGGGCAAAGAAACAAACAAAGCAAAGCAAAAAAAAAGAAAAAAAGAAAAAAAAGAGACAGAGAGAGGCAGGGAGAGATCACTGCTTGGGAATTGCCTCCTAATACCTACCTACCTGACATGACCTTCTGAATACCACTGACGTGCTAAACCAACTGAGCTAGGCCACTCGCCCTTTTGTGTTATTATTATTATTATTATTATTATTATTATTATTATTATTATTTTATTGTTATTATTATTATTATTATTATTATTATTATTATTATTACCGTAATGTTTTACTAATTTCTTGCTACAAGTTACAACACACAGCCCTGCCAGCAACAAGGGGAAAAGGGGGTGTGAAATAGATAGAGGGAGAAGAGAAGCTCCCGATAGTATGCCCAATGTGTTTATGTGATATCCGCAGTGTATTTGGGGTGGGTACCGCATGATGAGTCGTCTACACTAAAATTGACTAAATTTTGCACTATGTGCCAGTATGTGGAAGGGGGTGCTAGAGGTGCCTATGCGCTGCTAACTGTTGTGCTAGAGGTGCTATGCGCTGCTAACTGTTATTTTGTAGGGTACTAGGTATTAATCAGCGAAGTCAACGACTCCGCAACATAGTATAGTACATGTGTTATAGAACTTATACTAGTCTTATAGTGCTATAGTGCTATGTGCTATGTGCTATAGCGCTACAAGCTATTTGGCAGGTTCTACTAAGGACTGTAGGTGCTACAAGTAACTTACTTAAGTGCTATAGTGCTATAGTGCTATGTGCTTAGTGCTATGTGTTATAGTGCTATGTGCTATAGTGCTACATGCTATAGTACATAGTGTACGTATAGACACTATGTGGGTACTATGTACGGTATGCAGTACAGAATTTGTACTTGATGTCTTTCTATGTGCTATGTGCTATGTGCTATGTGTTACAATTCTTTCCCTTTCTTTTTGTTTAACAAGTTCCAAAGCATGCACTTATTCAAATGGCTACAGACCGGGTGGCCATGTCCCACTAGCAGGGGTTGAGTTTACGCTTCGTGTATTTTTCAACGTGGTCCCACGATGGCCGTGAGATTTCCAGATCGGATGGCAGGGAGCCATGCCATGTATACTCGAAACCAGAACTGAAACCTTGACGAGCGGGACATGGTCTAGGGACGTAGTCCTCACACTACCCGTGCTGTTGGAATGGGGGTGCCTTTCATGGTGCCCGATGGTCCATTGAAGGATCTCCGCAGGGTTATGCGCTATGTCATAATCTGTGCTATGCAGTATGTCTAGGTGTTAAAACTCAGTGTTAAAATCGGTATAATTAAAACTCTTGAGTCAGTGTTACACTCTGTGTTAAGATCCGAGACTCCGGTGTTCAGCACCTAGCTAAACACACCGGGGGAGCCTAACGATCTGATTGTACTCCATGCGGCCACCGCTGTTGCCTCCTTCCTTATAGTCAGTCACAACCCCCTCCCTATACTGTTCCTGAGTCTGCTGACATCCTCCTCTGGACACAAGCAGAGGGTTACTTCAACTTCTGACAAGAAGACGACTACGGTGAATCCAATATTAATATGGAAACGATGCCTACGGCGCTGATGGGAAGGGGCAAGTACAGCTACGACCTGCCCCAGACAATCATCATACCCCTGGTCTGCATTCCGATGTTTCCATGCGTATGTCCTATTGCATCGTCTGGGCCATTTCAATTCCTGTTTTAACCTCGGGTCCACCAACCACTCACCGGCTCTGTGGGATAGCGGCAGAAAGGCCCACACTCTAGAGTCCCATTCCTCCTTATGATCACGAACAGGCCGAGTCCCACTCGGTCTGCATTGTCGACCAGGACAGGAATGCTGTTTCCAGATCCCACCTTGGAGGAGTCCCCGCCCCGGCTCTGTCCATCTGCAAACACGGTTCAGCCGAATCGAGCCGATCCTTCACACTGCCCTGCATCCTATCGAGCTGCCGAACCTTCCCATGCAGCACAAGTGGTTAGCGCCGCGGGTGGGTTTTTATTTATATAATTTAAATATATATAAATGGCATGGCAAATCGCCTGAAAATTCAGGCCTCCATTAACCCTCTGTCCTATATGCAGATCAGGCAGACTCTGCGAGCACTGGTAAGAAGACCCCTTCCGTGGACCCTCCCTGTGCAGATCAGACAGACTGTGCCAGCACAGGTCAGGAGGCCCCTTCAGAGGACCCTTCCCATGCGCCATCCCAATCTGCAAACATGCAGGCACAAGTGTATTTACACTGTGCACAGGATAATCTCTGCTCGGACCTCTTCGTAGACATGACAGCATGTGTCTCTGCTGCGTGGCCTAATAGCCTCTATGCCACCATATCCACACCCTCGAGGCTCGAACCCCTCTTCATCATTTTTTTTGCAACAGAGCTGAACGCCCTTTCCTTGGCCAGGATCGAACCCCTCTTAATCACCTGTCAACAGATAGGTGTACATCGGTATCACTAAAACACCGCTTGCCCAAGAAACTCTCTGCTCCGAGCTCACAGCTTTCCTGTGATAACCACCACCCAGCTGATCTTATAGGTTAGCGTGCAACACCGATTGCCGAAGAAACCATCTGCTCACAGCGCTGACGTTACGTCAGCATGTGCAATGAGCATAATTCATTCCCCATTACGATATTGCCGCGAGCACTCTCGAGGATACGTGTGCTCCACACTACTCTTGGTCTTCGACTCGATGCAGAGATTTGATGACAGTCCCTCCTGAGTCCTGTGTATGCATCTATGTGACCCTCGCATCGCATGTCCCCTCGGTGAAGCAGCGCTGGCCTTGCAGTGAGTTCATGTAAATGCAATCGCCATGCCTCTGTGTTCCTAGCCGCTTCACCCTATCGGAATGCATGGTCATTATGGGAACGTATCTAGACTGAAAGTTGGCCCAAGAACCAGCTGTATCTAGACTCAAAGTTGCCCCAAAAATTAGCTTTCATGACAGCGCGACAGTGTGTTTTTTTTTCCTATTCGGCGGAAGACAGTAGCATCTAGAAGCTGTGTTGTGCCAGGCCTGATACTTGTCTCCGCTGTGTCATTTGCCGTGCAAAACCGTCACTGCGACTGCGACTGTGGGGACTGGAGGTGGTGGGGTGATCCCCCCACAGCCCGCATCCGAGCCGATTGTGTCCAGCCTATTATGTATGGGTGTGGCGGGTCACCATAGGGAACGTAGTTATGTACTGCTCATCTAGTCGGTTTTCTGAGCAATCCCCAAAACTGTAACTGACCTGACCACTGCCTCTTTTCACCCAAGCTTGCTTTGCCAGAGTGAGTATTCGCCGGGATTTAATCATGCCCTGTACTCATCCTCCCGTTCTCCCTTCTTTCTTTCCCCTCCCCCCCCTCCACCTCTCTTCCAACTTCCTCTCCTCTATTCATTTTCCTTCTCTCTCATCCTCCTCTTGCTCTATTCATTTTCCTTCTCTCTCATCCTCCTCTTGTCCATGATGCACAAGTGCTGAACGAAGACAAATGAGCATATCGCTAACACAACAGACAAGCTGCGTAGGCACCTTGCACGCCACGACACAAACGTGGCTAGCATTGCTTCACTCAAAGTTTCAGCACAGCAATCGGCCGTTTCAGCAAGAACATTCATCACAAGGTATCCACACGGAAAAGGATGTTTCAAATTCCTTCCGCAAGAATGATGATTGCTTCTTTCTCAAAGAAAAATAAAGCAGTTCCAACTTGTCTACAAAAAAAAAAAAAAAAAAAAAAAAAGAACGATGATTTCTGTGCATAAAAGGTGGAAAGAACTCATGTCATGATTGTTTCGTTAGGACATGGGTGAAAAAGATCTTGCTTGGATGATTTCTTTCTACGCACACAAGCGTGTTCACACACACACACACACACACACACACACACACAGAGGGAGACACACACACACAGGGAGGCACACAACACACACAGGGAGGCACACAACACACACACACACACACACACACACACACACACACACACACACACACAGAGCGGGATGAGGGCAGGCTGGCGCTCAGCCATAATTAACGTGGCCAGCCTTGTACGTGAAAGGCACAGTGAAAAGGGAGCTGCAAGAAAAAATAAAAGGGGTACTACGGTACTACTACCCGAAAAAAGCCTAAATAGTAAAATACAGATAGTTAAGAAGCCCTGTTCTTGTTATTCAAAAAAAAAAAAAAAAAAAAAAAAAGAAAGAAAGAAAAAAAGAAAGGGATATAATGGATCCAATGTGCTCGATGCAGCTTGCTATAGTGGCAAAACTGTTTCATTGTCACGGATTGCCTCATCTCAAGTGTGCTTCATTGTCTGCAGTGAAGGTAAAGCTGCTTCAATTTTGAATCTACTCATCTGGCTGGAACAGTGGCTGTTTTGGTGAAACACCACCACCACAAACACACGCACACAACCACGGGCGAGCTATTATTCTTCTTTTGTGGGTTGGATACGTCGTTGGTTGTTTTGTTTATTACACATGTGACATGACCTAATTTTTTGCCCTGCTTTAGAGCATGGGCTGTCTCTTTGATGAAGGAATGTCTGTCGGTTGCCATGAGTTTTTTCCGGGTGTGAATGTAATGTATGTCTGGAGTTTTGGCCAGGGTATCTTCTCTAGGAGGCTCAGAGAGTGTTTAGTGTGGGTGTCATTCCCATGGGCGGCTCTTTTGGAGCATGCACATGGGAGAAATGGGGGCGTCAAGGGTGTTTTAACC